GAATGATGATATTACCTAGTTTCTGCTTTCCTGGATCCATTCCAAAACAGACACCAACAGCAACAACGTATTTGATGTCTGGAACCTTTCCTAACATTTTTGATGTGATAGCAGCAGCATGAATGGGACCCTGCCTGCTCTTATCTGGTGCTGTCATCACAACAATAACTTTGCTTTCTCCATAATTCCCTATGTATATCCTCAGACCATCAATGTATGTTTCAATGACCTTTTTAGATGATTTCTTCAGATAATGCACGACCGGTTCTTCTTCACTTGTAGTGGCTGGCATGAGTAGGATTCTGATATCTTGAACAAGATCTTCATTAAACTCTCGAGATTCAATGACACATTTTACAGTTTCATCATCATTTGGCCAGACTGGTGGGCCTGAAAGAAAACTACTTAACTTTTGTCCTTTTCAGATGCAAGACATGATGCAAGTATTAGTGTGTGTGATTTGCTTGAATTAGGAGCTGAGTATAGTTACTAGTACTTGTTTGCAACCAGTTATATACCAAACCAGCTTACAAGCTACATAGCATGCATGATTTGAATTATTATGTGAGTACAAGTATATGCAAGTATGTATTAAACTACTCTATTGTGTTAGTAATTGGTTACCTTTTTGTGGGGTAGGACCATCAGGTTCCTCATCACCAGAACTTGCTTGAGCTCCTCCATCTAAAGAAGATAACATAAAAGGATCACTTTAATAGATTATATTGTCTGTTAATATGTGGGCGTTATGAGTAGCAGCTGTGCTTGTTTGGAGGGACAGAAATAAGTTTTCACTCAACCACTGACGTTCACTCAACCACTACACGTCAGTGGTTCCATATTCAATTTTTTACTATTATCAGCCTAAGCAAAATAAGAGCCTTAGCTCAGATAACCAACCCATTAGAAATTACATTTATGAGGTTATATTGGTTGTCAGATTTTGTAACGTTACCTTTGTTTCCAGCACCAGTTTTTGTAGTAGGAGAGTCAGTTTTTGGCTCTAGATTAAAGTACAGTTCAATTGCTGGTTAGCTTTTACTTACTCGTACTTTTAGCTGGTTTCTTTCCTTCTGATGAATTTCCTCCAAACATAGCACCTAAAATAGACATGTACATGTATAACTATCAATATCTACTTTGTGACTATATTGCTTTAATATTGAGTATTGCCAATAATCCAGTAAATGGTAAATAAAATTGCTGAGTAAATGGTAAATAAAATTGCTGCTAGTCATGAATTTTTATTCATTTATTTTTTTAAAATTACAATGGTGCAAGGCTATCATAAGTTCATATCATTCAGGTTCATTATCCTCATATTGTTGTCATGATGAGGATAATGATGCATAATTAAGGTATTGAGATATACACTCACTTATACGTTCAGCTATTGCACCCTTTTCAATTGCTTCAAGTGCCGCACATAATGAATTAAATGATGGTCTTCCATGGTATTTATCATCATCAACTTGATCAGCTCTCTCCAGCCATTTTGTAAGGCATTTGATGTAACACTTGTCAATATTACCGCTTTGATTTTCATTGATCTCATCTAGTGTATTTTCATGTAGCCCAAGCTCTCTTCCTAAATCCTTCCAATCTCCTTTTTTAAACTCTGCTTTCCTTAACTTTTGCATCACCTCTCTTAAATCAGCAACCCTCAATTCTAAAAGTGAAGTTTATTACTTCTGAATTGAGTATATTATATTTAATGCATTTTTACTCTACTGTATATACAAAATAATACAGTAGTTAAGAAGCTGCATGGTTAATGTTATACAAATGAGTTCAGTGAGTTCATATAATTCCAGGTGGCAAGATTAGTTGTATATAATAGCCATCTTTCTTACCTTTTTCTATCCTTTGATCATCATTTAATCTGTTTGGAACATTTCCTATTGATTCTAATGCCATTTGAAGAACTTGACCTAAAATGATAGTTTTCAATAGTGAAATGATGTCACTATGTCAGGTTCCAGTCAATGATATTTTAGGACAAAAATAGTTATATCTAGTATCTAAATAATTCATAGCTAAGAAAGATGATACTAAATAGCACAAGTCTTAGTACAAAAGATAGATTTGTACCACAAATCTGCATCACTTACCTTTAAACTCTTAAGATACAGCAGCTACAGTGTCTAGTGTCTACATGAGTAGGTGTGTCACTAGATAAGATCTAGCCATAGATAATGGAGCATCTATGATCTAGCTAAGCTTTTAAGCTATTGTAAAGTCTTCACCTTTCCATGCCTTGTGTAGTGGAAAGGACCTTATACTTCCCTTCCCCTATCCTGTTGTTACTTGAAATAATGGCAATTATTTACTAGCTCCTGGCACCTCTGCCAAAAGAATATGCCAATCATTTCAACTCATAATAATTACTTTAAATTGTAATAATTATGCTAGTATCATTATTAAAGTGTAATATTGTAAAGAGTTTTCAGTTTATCAGGTATTCTTTCAGCATCTGCATGATCCTGCTTCCCTCCACAGCATCTATCAAAGTCTGCCATGTTCTACTAGTTACATTATCTTCTCCCTTCAGCCATGCTTCTATAGTCCTCCTCAAGTGTCTGTATGTGTCACCACCTCCTTCTCCAATGACATTGAGTCTTGGTGGATATCATTGTCTACTTCTTCAGATTCAAATATCTCACATATGGTAAGTAGACAGGCATTAGGGTCATCACTATTATGTATCTTGTCATTGAGTTTAAAAGCCACTTCACTGCTGATTCCAATCAAATTTAGATTTTTTTACAAATTTTTAAAGTTGCTCCAAAATTGGGCCAAAGTCCCTGTAGTACATGGTCTCAGGCCAAATTTTGCTAAAATTGAAAAATTTAAAGTTCACAATTTTTATTACATTTCCTAGATATATATACATGTTTTTATGTTGCATAGAAAGTTTGACCTGATTCCGATCAAGTTTAGATTTTTTATGGATTTTTAAAGCCAGACAAATTATCATGAATCCTGATCAGTCTTGTATTATTAATATGAGCTTACTAAAGCTCATCCTTTTGGAAATGGAACTGACATTGAGTTTATCACAACAAACACACAGTAATGCATTACTAAGAATTCCTTTTAATACCAAAAAACAACAAACTGTTATCATAATCAATAACATCATCTTTATACAGTATGAGTCTTTATTTATTTCTGTTCTTCCTTCTTTCTCTTAGTTCTAATAATTGAATCAATATAACGTAATGCAAAAGATATTTATGCTTTACTTTCAGCAACTGGTTTTTGTCCAATATTTATGAGACCATTCTCCAAGGACTCCCAGGTTGCTCCTCCTTTCTTGTCAACATCTTCAACTCTGTTCAGCCATTTTACCAAACAAGATCTGAGGCAGTCATTAGCTGTATTTCTATCAGACCGTATGGTACTTATTGTCACTTCATAAAGACCAATATCCAGACAAAGATCTTCCCATTGACCGGGATCAAATTTGCATTCCTTTAATTTTGAAATGATATAAGATAAATCTGAAATATCCAGTGGTTTACCTACATAAAGTATAACAATGTATATACATTATGTATTATATGAGGGACATAGATTCATTTTACTTCTTCTTAAACAGACTAAGTACTATCATATAATATCTATCATACATTTCACTGCATGACATACTGGTAGTGGTGGGCAATGGAACCTGTGGAGGTTTAACGTCTTCAGGATACACATGCACATGGTTGGTTGGTTCACCTTCTTTACCTTTCATTTGCTGGTATGATGGTAAGCATATCATAAGTACAACAGCTGCAGCAGCAAAGCAAAGAGCAAGAATAATCCATCCACTGCACATGAAGGAGCAGAAAGAACTTATAGTTAAACAAGGAATTGATGACAATAGTATTACTTTTGTTGCATAGCTTTTTTCAGTGGAGATCTACCTAAAAATAAAGGTCATTATAATAGTTATAGGAATGAGGTGACCCCTAATCATATATGGGTCTAATGAAGGCACTTAATTAAGGCTATCATACACCATGAAGCATCTTTATTTATTATACAAGAGTCAATGGAGCTTGAAAATGTTTCATGATATTCAAAAACTTCAACTTCATGAAACATATTTGATGGTGAATGATAGATAGCCTTTAGCATAATTGTACAGACAAATTTCCAAAGGATTAACTTTTGAAGTATGAATACTAAGCTGCTGCAAACTTTGTGTGAGGCAAGGTGCTGTGATGATTTGTCACACAATGATCATGCTTGCTAATATGAATCTTTCTGGATTGAAATTTACTTTTATCAAATTTTTTATATAAAAGCTAAACTAAAATCTAAATTCACTCATTAGTCAGTCACAGAGTCAGTTACTTATTGATATTGTCACTTATTTAGTGCAGCATACACATAACGAGCAGCATTGCGGGCTGCAGTTGGCTTCGAGTCTTCGGCAGCTTTTTTTTTACCATCAGCCCAGTCACCGATACCCTTGATGACAATACCACCAACACGTTGAGGGACATAACCAATAGCAGCCATTATTCCAGCTCCTTCCATTTCTCCTGCTACAGCTTCGGGTTTTTTGTCAAACAATCCTTTTTTAATTTCAGGATTATCAATCACGTTAGGCGTTGTTAAAATAGGACCTGGTGAAACTTTGATATTCTCTGGAAGGACAAGATTATGAGAAAAGTTGAACATTTCTTTTGTTTCACGGTTTACTTCATAATCTCCACCTCGCCGTAATTCACTATCTTCTCCTTGACGTTTGCTTACAAAATCACAAATTATCTCTGAAACAATAACTTGACCTAATTCTTGCTTCTCTGGATCCTTTCCAAAACAGACACCGACAGCAACGACGTGTTTGATACTCTTGACTCTTTCTATTATCTTTGTTGTGATGATAGCAGCATGAACTGGGCCTTGCATGGTTTTATCTGGTGCTATCTTTGAAACGATAACTTTCCTTTTTCCATAATATCCAATGTACATTTTCACAATGCCATCAATGCTTGTTTCAATGTATCCTTCAGGTGATTCCTTCAGGTATTCCATGACTGGCTCTTCTTCAGCATCAGTCGCTGGCAGGAGAAGAATTTCAATATCTTTAACGAGATCTTCACTGAATTCCTCTTTTCTGCACTTCTTATCTTGTGGTGGGTCTGAAAAAAACCACTTGATTTTTTTCCTTTTCAGATGCAATGTACTAAATGTTATATTATTTATGTGTGTGTGTGTGTGTGTGTGGTTATTAGTTCTAAAAGAAGCTGAGTAGTGAAAAGTTGTGAAGCTTCCAGTTGTTTTGCAACTTAATATAAACAACCAACTATAAGCCAGCTTACAAGGTACATAGTATGCATGATCTGAATTATTGTATAAGTACAATTATGCAAGTGTGTATATAGTAAACTATTGTATTGTGTTAGTAATTGGTTACCTTGTCCATCAGGTCCATCAATATCCTCATCACCAGCTCTTGCTTGAGCTCCTCCACCTAAAGAGGATAACATAAGAGGATCACTTTAGTAGATCTTTATCAATACAAGACACTTTATATGTGTATAGTGTTATTATTAATATGTGGGTGTTGTGAGTTGCAGCTGTGCTTATTTGGAGGGACAGAGATAAGTTGATTATGGCCCTCAGCCCTCCCACACAATTGTGGTTTCTGCTTAAGGAAGACTTTGAAACTTTAAATGCAATAGCTAATTAGTTTTCAAACAAATTTCATGACAAAATCTGTTTACTACTTTAGCCTAAGCAGAGAGCCATAGCTTATATTGTTAACTAAAGTGCTACAATTGGTTACAGCCAATCTATATTACCTTTGCTGCTTTTCTTAGTGGAGTCAATTTTTGGCCCTAAATAGAGAAAAGTACAAATAAATTTGCTGTTTAGATTTTCACTTACCCGTACTTTTAGCATTCTTTTCTCCCGTTTTGCCGGTATCTCCTTCTCGTGCTAATTTCCCTAAAAATAGAGTGTAGATTAGGAAATATTATGATAATTTTAAAATGGCTCAGCTGCTGCATGTAGTATCAGTATTCAATTACAATGTTACAGTATCTACACTTTTTGCCATTGCATGTGGCGCAAGATGGTAACTAATATGCTTGGTTCAATAATGTTGTTATAATGAGATATAATGATGTGGTCTTTGTTATACACTTACTTATATAGTCAGCTTGAGCTTTACAGCCATTCATTTTCTCAAGAGCATTAGCCAGTGTATCCAAAGATGGTTTACCAACTTTATCAACATTATCAGCTCTTCTCAGCCACTTGGAAAGGCATCCTCCAAAGCAACCGTCAGTGTCACCTCTTTGATTTGCACTGATCATATTCAGTGTATTAGGATGCAGTCCAAGTGTCCCTCCTAATGTCCTCCAATTAGTTTTGTCAAAACGTGCTTTCTCTAACTGTTGTATAACATCGATCAACTCATCAATGGTCAGTACTAAAGTGTGAAGAAATAATAAATTTAGTACAAACGTATACAACATGCAAAGCAAGTGGCAGATAGGACAGCAACAAATTAAATTATGTTATTCCTATAGACCTGAATATATACACCAGTACAAAAGCATCACATGATTAGAATTATATATACATCAGCTACATATTATAGTCAAGCACTTACTTTTTGACATGTTAGTCAGTTGTAAGAAGAACAGTCAAAAGGTTTAGAATGAAGCTCTGTTACTGAACACTGTCAACAACTTCTAATGTGGGCAGATACACACTACTGGTATAATATCCCTTGCTATCTGATTGCTATCAAAACTTGCACTTCCTGTCAGTGTGTTTAGCTTACCAGAGTTCAGTAGTATATGATTTACTCATTCACCTTTCCATACCTTGTGTAGTGGAAAGGACTTTATGCTGCCCTTCCCCTATCCTGTTGTTACTTGAAGTGATAGCAATTATTTACTAGCTCCTGGCACCTCTGCCAAAACAATATGCCAATCATTTCAACTCATAATAATTACTTAAAACTGTACTGTGCTATTATCATTATTAAAGTCTAATATTGTAAAGGGTTTTAAGTATATCGGGTATTATTTGAGCAGCTGCACGGTCTCCTGTTCTCGCCACAGCTTCTATCAAAGTCTGCCATGTTCTACTAGTTACATTATCTTCTTCCTCTAGCCATACTTCTATAGTCCTCCTCAAGTGTCTGTATGCATCACCACCTTCCTCTCCAATGACATTGAGTCTTGATATCAATAGACCAAGCTTCAGGCCCAAGTTCGCCCATTTTGTTGCACCAAACAAAGCTTTATTTAAAACTGTTGTTACCATTTCAACATCCTCTATATCTATGGTGGTAATCATTAATAGATTATTATTGTGATAATACATTACTTACCTAGTGTCCTTTTCCCATTATCAGTATTACTAGTACTAGCAGTTTGCATGCTGGTACTACTAGTAGATCTACTGCTTCCATTAGATGACACTGTAGCAGTAGGTACTGTAACAGAAACAACATGACATTATGTAAAAATTAAATGTGTACAGCAGAATCCCCTACAGCCAGTAGAGGTTAATAAACAATTATATAATCAAGTCAAAGGGAGTGGCAGGTTTATCAGTGGTGGATAGGGTTTGCCTCTAGAATGGTACTGATAACCTTCAGTAGTATCATATTACAGTATCAGGTATATTACCCATTTCACCCACTTTTACTCATACCCACACCTCCTGTAGTAGCTAAAGTTTAATCATGGTTGGTGGTCAAATCATGCAAGCAATTCAATTTTAGTAACTTGTAGTCAAATTTTATTAAATTATAGGTTTCTGACAAAGTATTAATTTTATAAGGTCTGATCAATAACTTGAACTTACCCAATTCATTGGCTAAAACACTTAGCACTATATCTAAATCACCTATGCCTGAAATGATAATGTATAAATTTATGTACATACATTTTAGTTCTATTGTACCTAGCTCATTAGGGTTAGTCCTAGGCAGAGCTGCTGCTGAAGGATAAGGTGGAGCTGAAGGAGTAACAGCTGGTACTTGAACTGGTGTAGCAGCTGTTCCATCTATTAAAATAAAGTATTTAGAAAGGATACTAATGGAATGTGTTTACTTGATATGCTTGTTCTCATGCTTTCTCCATGTTTCTTCAATGTAGCATTGTCTACTAGTTCAGATTCAAATATCTCACATATTTCAAGTAAACAGGCATTAGGGTCATCACTATCCTTTATCTTGTCTCTTAGGGTAAAGCCACTTCCCTGCCTCTTTCAACACCTTGTTTGGTCATAATGGCTTCAAGCTCTTGATCAGTTATCAGGTCTTCAGCATTGAGAGAAGCAGTGACTACAGAAAAGGATGGATCCTTTCCAAGTACGTTTATAAGTTTTGGTAGTGTCTTTTTAAAGACATCCTTAGCACTTTTACCTACAGTACAGTGCTAAAAGATTGGTACACTTCATAAAGAGAACTGACCTCCTTCAGCCATTATTGTTATTCACTTAAGAATGCTAGTATCAGCAAATGGGCAGGTTTAGGTTATCTATTACCCACTTCCTTTTTCCTTTTTAGGAGTTACTATGAATGTAATAAACATTCATAGGATTATACTCTACTGCATATATTGCTGTTATTAGTATAAGGTAGTGTTGCAAGGTGCTTCATTATGTTGGGTATGAAGATGCTCTAAAATGAGGCCAAAGTCCCTGTACTATAGTACATGGTCTCGAGTCAAATTTTGCCAAAATTGAAAAGTTAAGAATTCACAATTTTTATTACATTTCCTGATACATATACATGTACTTATGTTGTGTAGAAAATTTGAGCTGATTCCGATCAAATTTGGATTTTTATGAGCTTTTAAAGTTTCTCCAAAATCGAGCCAAAGTCCCTGTACTATAGTACATGGTCTTGGGCCAAATTTTGCTAAAAATGAAAAGTAGAGAATTCTCAATTTTTATTACATTTCCTGATACATATACATGTTTTTATGCTGCGTAGAAAGTTTGAGCTGGTTCCAATCAAATTCAGATTTTTTTACAAATTTTTTAATTTGCTCCAAAATTGAGCCAAAGTCCCTGTACTGTAGTACATGGTCTTGGGCCAAATTTTGCCAAAATCGAAAAATTTAAAGTTCATAATTTTTATTACATTTCCTGATACATATACATGTACTTATGTTGTGTAGAAATTTTGAGCTGATTCCAATCAAATTTAGATTTTTTACGAATTTTTAAAGTTGCTCCAAAATTAAGCCAAAGTCCCTGTACTATAGTACAGGGTCTCTGGCCAAATTTTTCCAAAATGAAAAAAATTAAAATTCACAATTTTTATTACATTTTCTGATACATATACATGTTCTTATGCTGCGTAGAAAGTTTGAGCTGATTCTGATCAAATTTAGATTTTTTATGAATTTTTAAAGTCGGACAAATTACCATGAATCATGCTCAGTCTTGTATTATTGATATGAGGATACTAAAGCTCATCCTTTTAGAAATGAAACTGGAACTGGTATTGAGTTTATCACAACAAACACACAGTAATGCATTACTAAGTATTCTTTTCAACAAACTGTTATAATTATCAAACATTATGATTACATCAATTATAATTTACTTTCAGCTACTAGTTTTGTTCAAACAAAGATTTGTTTACTTATCTGGATTATCAATATTATAATTACTAGAACTAGTCTAAGTTCAGTCAGTTACTTATTGTAGTTGTTCCCAGTCATTTAGTGCAGCATGTACATAATGGGCAGCAGCACGGGCTGCAAATGGCTTCCATTTTTTAGTGGCTTCTTTGTCACCATCACCCCAGTCACCAATCCCCTTGATGACAATAGCGCTAACAACACGGTCAGGAGCATAATCAATCGCAGTCATTATTCCAGCTCCTTCCATTTCTCCTGCTATAGCATCAGGTTTTTGGGCAAGCAATTCCTGTTTAACATCAGGATTATCGATCAGACTGCCTGTAGATATAAGGACACCAGTAGAGACTTTAATATTGTGTGGCATTTTAAAACCATGAGGAGGTCGGAACTTGTGTGTAATAGCTGGCTTTACTTGGTGTTGAGGGCCTCTCTGATACTCATTTTCACCCACTCCTTCGCGTTTATTTGTGAAATCACAGATCGTGCCCGAAATGATGACTTCGCCTAATTTCTGCTTTCCTGGATCCATTCCAAAACAGACACCAACAGCAACAACATATTTGATGCTAGGAAACTTTTCTAACATTTTTGAGGTGATGACACCAGCATGAATTGGACCCTGCCTGCTCTTGTCTGGTGCGGTCATCACAACAATAACTTTGCTTTTTCCATAATTCCCTATGTATATCCTCAGACCATCAATGTATGTTTCAATGAGTTCTTCAGATGAATGCTTTAGATAATAAACAACTGAGTCTTCTTCACTTGTAGTGGCTGGCATGAGTAGGATTTCAATATCTCTAACAAGTTCTTCATAAAAATGTAGGGTTTCAGGAACACGTCTCATGATTTCATCATCATACAGCCATTCTGGTGGGTCTGAAAAAAAGCCACATGACTTTGGAATGTAGATGATGTTCTTGTATTATTGTGTGTGTGTGTGGGATTGTATATAGTTCTATAAAATTTTACAGTGTAATTGTTACAGCATGGAGCTGAGTATAATATTAAGTTGCAAAGCTCCTTGTTTTGCAACTTAATATTACAGCCAACTATAAGCCAGCTTAAAAACTACATAAGCATGATCTGAATTTTTTTGTGAGTATAATTATGCATGTATGTATAGACTATTAAGAAACTATTACAATTACTGTAATAAAAGAAATAAAGTATTATAATATGCAATAAACTATTGTTGTGTGTAGAATATTACTGTATTGGTTACCTTGTGGAGGTCCATCAGTTTCCTCATCAGCTGCACATGCTTCAGACTCTCCATCTAGAATACCATTAATATAAAGGCGGATTTACAATATGACGCTAGGCCAATGTACTGTCAATTTTTAATCAAAAGCGTGGGTGATTTGACCTTTTCATGCATGCTATATGCTAGAGTTGAACCAAATTCAACTCCTACATCAATGTAACGTCAGGA